TAGAAAGATGCCACATAAATTTAATATATTTCAACACATATCGTCACTTGCAAACGAGAAATCAGGCCAACCACATAAGTTTTACAATTATCAGAGTTATCGTCAGATTCGAACGTATACCTTTTACTCTAATATCATGTTAAACAGTGAATTACTCTAAAAACGAACGCTATTACAGAGAGAGTGTTACATAAATGTGAAACAGTCAATGCCTCTCATTCGCCAAATCTCTTTCTGTTTCCCTCAGTACCCACTTGATGTGATTTAGTGTACAAAAACTTAAAAACGAAATTGTGTATGTGCTTACTGAATATATGTGTCTCAGAGTGTCAAAGCAGCCTGTCAGTGGGCATATAAAGGAGTAACGGAAGGTTCAGTCCTACAAGGTATGAATATACATTCTGCTAAGGAGTCGGATCTGCGGTGACAAGAGGCTTATACAGTTACAATGCAAAAATCTCGTATACTGGACTGTCATTTAGAATACTAGAAATAATGGAGAGTATTCCTGCAGATGCCTACTTCCGGTCCCGTTTAGCAATTGTCAACTTACGGTTAGCTCAAGCTGGATTTCGATTGGCAGCAACTCTTAACAAGATATTTAAGTGACAAGAAATCTGATAATGTTGAAATGTAAACTCCTAGAGCTTGTTATATTATTCAGTGGGCTACTTATCTTTTTCGTCTTTTAAGTTAAGGGCTATGATTAAGGTAATGAAAAAAATTTGTCGGTATTGTATTTCTAAATATTACTATTTTAATAGATTTTTTTATAATTTTATGGATCATTTAAAAAATATATATATTTTGTCATTTTTGTGAATGATGACCGCCTATCTTCGAATGATTTGAGAGCCAAAACCTTGGTCTTTTCTGATTTGTTTGGTATGTGAGTTTAATTGTTTGGTATGTGAGTTTAAGTGGGATTTGAAAAGTAAGTTTTGTGAAAATAGTTCAATGAATCTTCTAAACTTATGTTTCGCCTCAGATTTGAGGCCTGAGATTTGTAGGGCAAACGAATATTGGCCTGTAATGAATAATGGATTAAAATCCTTATATGGGGGTTTTGGAAATGAGAGATTGAATTTGTAAATAAAAAGATTATTTTATCCAAAAAAATATATTCTTCTATTCACCTAATAATAGACATTTTAGTCAAAATTGATTTGTTTCAACAAAATCTATGGGCCCCATATGAATTTATGTCACTTACCAAATATGAAATTGGATAGGATTTTTATTTGAATCTCATGTATAAATTATTGGGGTTAGGTTTGGAAAGACTTCATAAATATAATTCAAATCCAAAAAATTAAAAAAAAAAAATCCAAACGGGCTATTATGGTTGGGTAGGGCTATTCCCACCTCTTAAATTTTATTTATTTCTTACCTCATTTAATCCTCTTATTTTAAACTATTAAATTTACTATTTATGCTCACCTCATTAGTTATTAAACACAGTCCATTTATTTCGATTTCTTTAACATATATTTAATAGTTTAATTGAATGAGTATAAACGGGTTGGTATAGATGAGTTGGGCTTAATAGTTTGAAGAAAGAGGATTAAAAGAAGTGAAAAAAGAGATTTAAAGGGTGGCAATAACCCCACTCATTATAGTTAGATTAAAATATGGTGAATTACATTTGCATCCCCTATGTTTTGTCCAAATAATAGATAAACCCCATCACGTATCAATAATGTAAGTGGAACTACACGTCCTTGTCCATCCTTTTTTTTTAATAACTACACCAATGAAATGATTAAAGTACCATTTATGTGAGTTATGGAATGACTATAATTCCCTTTATATGAGCTACGGATTTGGATGAATTTTAGAAAATATTTTGATTAAAAAAACATAAATGCAAATTCATAAATAGTTATTATCTTTCGGGGTGACTCATCTGCACACAACCCCGCCTCCAACACCAACTACAAATATCACAATTACGTATATCAATCATTATAGGTGCAGCAAGTACATGATAAAAAAATATTTTACATATACTTGATTCATTTATTAATTTATGTCTAACGAATCATGTTATATCGAGTTCATCTCATGTATAACTAGTAAATAAATAAGTCGCATGTTTAGTTTTTTTTAATTGATTTTACTCATACCGACCAGATTTGTTTATTAATCTTGAAGTGTCAATCACTTGTTTATTTAAACAGGTGACTTAAAAAAGATTCAAAATCTCTATTTTTTGTATCGTATTAATGAGTTGTATTATATTTTAATATCTCTAATCATCAAAGGCAAAATTTTGAGGAGGCCTAGGAGCGCCATGGCCTCCCCCCCCCCCCCCCAACAAACTGTAAAAATTCTCATTATCCCCTTATAATTTTAAAAGCCAATAAAAAGTTTAGGAAAAGGATAGCCAGAGTCTCTTGCTGGCCACGATGCCCCGCCTATGGGGTACCCTGATTCTCACTCAGAAGTTTACTACGTCTCAACTCACAATTATTAGGGGCCTAAGGTCGTTGGTGTTTAGAATAGAGGACTTGGTTCTCTACCCTACCATAAATTATTCTAATTGATAATATTAGTTTTATTTTTAACCTCTAGTTTTCAAAATACCTAATGTGTAAATATTTCATTTAGTATATTCAAAAAAATTGATGATTTAATATTTAGTAACCATTTAGGAAGTAATCACAAGAATAAGTGTCGTTTATACTGATAAAGACACTTGTTGAATTATTTTGTTGACGTAGAGAAGTAATTTTTTTATAAAAAATAGAGATACAAATATGATTTATATAAAAAATAGTTGGTTCACTTATAATTCATTTTTATTATGGTATCATATAAAACTATTAGTTATTGTCTATGTCCGAAGAGACAGAGTAATAAAAAAATAGTAAACAATAAATATATTTGTATTCATATCCAAAATCAAATCACAAAAATAAAGAAGAGATAAATGAATTTAAGCATCGATTTATAGTAAAGGTGAGAAAAGGTGGCCGATAGTGGTGGTAGGAGACGGTGATAGCGATAGCAGTAGCGGTGGTGGTGGTGACGGTGGTGGTGGCGGTGGTAGTGATGGTGGTGACAGCTGCGACAGTGGTGGTGATGGTGGTGGCGATGGCGGTGGCGATGGCGATAGCGACGCGGCAGTGGCGACGATGGCGGTGGTAGAGATAATGGTGGGACGGTTTCAAATATTTTTTTTTTAAGTATTTATGAGAAATAATTTTTAAAAATATTTTTAAAAAGTCATCTCAAACACACCCTTATGGGCTATTTTTTCTATTAAATTTAAGGTATTAATGTTAGCCGTTAGATTAACTTTAAAATAAAATTTAAAGCGATCTTAACCGCGAATAACAAAAATCATTTTGTTTATTTTTTGATATTTGAATTATAAACTACTTTATTATATATATTATTTGCGACCATAATTTATTTATAGACACAAGGTTACATTATAAACTAGAAAACAAAGGGAAGATTATCAGAAATGAATTTTTATGACGGCATAAACCACTTTTGAGTTTTGTGCTCAAAAATAAATTTTTTCATGCCATTGCATAAAAATTAAATTTAATAATTTCTTTATAAATAAAAATTTATCATTGACAATAACCATTAAATTACTCTATTGAATTAAATATTTATCTATATTCTATACTATTATTGATCCCCTTAAAATAAAATTCTAAAATAAAATTCTAACTCCGTCCCAGTTAATCACAACCCACTGCCTTAACCTACCCTCGAACAGTATTATCCCACACCCACTGCCGACACCACCATTACCCATGCCATGACAAAGAAAGCAACTGGCACATCCATTAAACTGTTTTCTTTTTCAGAATTGAAGGTCTAGTTTAAAAGTTAGAAATATTTGACAAAACATATCAAGATGATCTCTGTTCTCATATTAACTTTATTCTTTTAACTTTTTTCTAATACCTGACCAAAAAGAAAGTCAATTACGAGTGGAGAAATTAGCTTTAGGACAGAAATAAATTACACTAACTCAAGATATAGTTCAATTGGTAATAGAGACGAGTTGTAAATCGAGACGTATTGAATTTGAATTTTGACAAATTTTTTAGACCACTCAGTCGCAAGAGATTTATCTTTCATGAATATCTTAATTCTGATGTGGATGACCTGCATTTGACCTGACTGAATAGGAGATTAATCGAAACGCATGTAAATTGACCCAAAATTTCTAACCGTTGAACCAAAAACAAAAGACCTTGGGATTCTCTCTCTATTAATAACAGAAATTAACTTCGCTCCCGTAGAATATGTCACCGTCTTTGGTATATTCCTCCGTCTTATGAATGAAATCAACGTTACAATCTCGACATCATTTCATTCGATGATTTTGATCTTTTTTAAGTTCCTTTCCTTTGCAAGCACGTACCATAAACCAAACACCATTAATCTTAATCTTATCTACTTTATCCAAAAATGACCAAACAGCCACCTCTCATCCAAGGCTTCTCATTGGACCACCTAAGGTTATTTCTGCGAATTCACGGTAGGTCAAACAACAAGTTGTGAACAAAAATTCATCAATGCGTCCAATCTCTGCTATTGAAAATGAGAGCGCACACGTCAACAACTAATCAAATGGATCCGACTATAATACCAAAAAATTATTTTTCATACTTGACACCTTTTCATCCAACAAAAACATCACACGTGTCAAATTATTTTATTTTATTATTTTCATAATCAGTGAAAAACTAAAAGATCTAAGACTCAAATTATATATTTTGTATCATATTGGTTAGTTTTTTTCTGGTACCAAGCAGGCAAGTACTATCACTATCTGAAGAAGATTAATACAAACAACTGTCCAAAATTGGTTTCTTCATACAGTTCACACCCAACCCATCACATAAAAAGTTTTGGGCACCTTCTTTTTTGGTCATTCATGGCTACAAGCTATATATATTGGACAATGTGATATAAAGTAGGCACCTTTAGCCCACCAGTTTTTATTTTTTTTGCTGGAGAGAGAAGCAGAAATGGAGTTTTGTAGAGTTCATACACTAGCTCTTGTTTCCTTCTTGTTTCTCTGTCCAGTTGCTCATTGCTGGGGTGTTGATAGCCATCTCACCGTTTGTAAGATTGCCCAGGCAAGGGTCTTAACTAATCTCCACTGTGTGTAAATACACACTCTTTTATGTGTAGTGAGTTGATATATTTGTCTTTGTGTGTGTGTTTTCACAGGCACGGTTGAGTGAAGCTGCAGCAGATGCTGTGAAGCAACTTTTACCAGAATCTGCTGATAAAGATCTGGGAAGTGTTTGTTCATGGGCAGACCAGGTCAAGTTCCGGTATCGTTGGTCATCAGCTCTTCATTACATTGATACCCCTGATAATCCCACCTGTACAGCAGTGAGTTCCTTAACCTTTTAATCCAGAATAGTAATTCTAAACATGTCTGGTTATTAGGAGATTTTTGGGTGTGTTTAGAAGTTTAATCCTGCACAAATCATTCTCAACTTGAGTGCTAAAGATGGAGAAATCTGCAGCCCTATGAACGATGATGATTAAGGCCGCTTAACGCATACCCAACCCATGTATAATCTGTGTATTGTTGTATTTATATAGTGCCATGTATAAGTCATATTTAGTAGAGCTTATGTTGAACCCTTTTTTGATGGGTTTGACCCGTCTACCCCAATCCTATATGACAAATCATAACTCCATGTTAATTTTGTATCTCTTTCTTGGGTCATGTCTGGATTCACCAACCCGATGATGATGAATTAAGTTGACTATTAATTTCTCGAGAAACGTAAAAAA